GAACTCTGTCTTCTCGACAGACCTATTCTTCACCTGAGGACGGCTGCTTGCATTGTGGCCGAAACGTCGTGAGAATTATTTTATTATGTTTTATTTTTATTATTTTATTATTTCCATTCTACGTGACTTTACCAAAAGAACCAAGAAGATGAATCTCTGCAGTCACGAAAGCTTTAAATCGAAATTTTACTTGGTAAGAAAACAAATAGGGACATTGCAGAATGCTGATTATTCCTCAGAAAAAAAAATGTTCTCTTAAAATGCCATCTCGTGTATTTTTACTTGTGATTGTGTTCAGGAATTACTTCGTACTTTATGGTGTAATGAATTACTTTTGAGTAGAATTCGTTATTTTGTCCAAAATATGGCATGGGGATGAATGACCGATATAATGTCCGTGCAAGCACAGTAGAAGCGGTATACAAGTAAAGCCCTTGGGAGCAAGGCCCATTTTACGCTCATATCTGATGCTTGCTTGCATCAGAAATCGCCTCTTCTTCCCCCCACCAGTGTAATGTAAGCTTGTGGTGCTCATGTTGGGGGCGTGCTCATTAGGTGTGCTTATATTCAGATGCTACTCAAATGTATTTATTTACCCAACTTTTTAGTCTAGAAAGTTTAACTGTCAGGTTGATGCACACAGGTGAGTGAATTGATGAAAAAAATACGTTCTTGAATGTAAAAATCGTACATGGTTGACATCTGCACGACCCTAAAATGCCACATTGGAGAACAATGTGTGTGCATCACAATTTCGTGGGTTACTCTTAAAATTGTGTGCATACTGTGAATCCATGGGCATCTGCTGAACATTGTACTCATAGCGCTGGGTTACAAATTCAGCAAGAGCGATCCTGACTTTTGTGAGATAACACTGGTCAACAAAAAAAAAACATTTTTTTCTGGCCTGGACTTTTGCAGCTGTTTTAGACTAATTTCAGGGTGCTGATTCCAAATGTGATCTCAGATTTGCTCTATCACATCTCATTTGTATGCTATCGGTATACCCCATTTTCATTGATTTTACCCGAAATTAACTCTGTCACTTATAATCGCAAGTTGTTGCGAGTCAGTGACTGCTTTAATGTTAAAATATGGTGCTGTATTTTTAGGATAGTGTGTTTATAATATAATTTTATGTAGATATACACATTTAATTAATATTTTTCTTCTGCAGTTTTTATTGAAAATGCAATATTTGATATCTCAAGAACCTGATGTGATAGACAAAAAGTGATGCCAGATTTGGAATCAGCTCCCCAAAATTACATTAAACCCGTTGGAATACCTTGTGCCAGAAAAAGTGTGTTGACCAGTGTAATCAGCCAGTGGTGCTATCCAGGTTGGCATTGGTGGTGCTAGCTCATTAGATGCCCTGTGCAGAGATAACTCTTGCAATGTCCCCTTTCAATTCATAGAACCCCACTAAAATTACAAAGTAGATGTGGACGAGAGATACAGATGTCGGGAGATGAGAGACATGCATACAGAGGCATTGTAGTGAGATGAGAGGAGAGAGATTTAAACAAGACAGATTTACATATATTAATGATATGTTTATGTTAATTCGCTTGTTATGGCGAGGTGATGTAAATTTGAGTTGATTCTCTTGTGTACCCCTAATATTTTATTAATTCCGGGCCCCTTGAGCTGATTGGGGTCCTGAACATTTTCTTGCTTTGAGGATCCCCTTACATTGTCCACTGCAAGTCTAAGGGAAGGTGTTTGTGCCACTGCTGGTTAATCAAAGCCTCTAATTATTCTAAGCACCTGAGTAAAGATGCTATTGTTGTGGGATTTGGACATGTAGCGCTGCCTCTAAATTGGACACTTTGGCTGTCAGGATGTTGAACACGTGGTCCATTGCAAGGTCCTTTGAGATTAATTCAGTAACTGGTCTTAATGTAAATCTCACCCATAAACCTGCCATGCAGTGTGTCGCCCTTTATAAATGCACCTGCCGAATCAATTTTGCAAACAAATGAGCTCGTATCCCGCACTTATTTTGCTCACAACCAAATGGAGTCATCGATATGCGAGGTTTGTTCAATTTTTACGGAGACCAATGCTCATTAGTAATACTCGCCAAATTACTGCTCAGCGAGCTCAATGCATCTTCATACCACTGTGGCTAAGTGAAAATATGTTTTGATTTTTTCACAAACTCATTCAGCAAGCGCGCACCAACTTAATTTTCGTTTGCCAATTATGTTCGACAATTGTTGTATGGTACCACGTTGCATCGCATTGCGGCAACATTTCCTTGGAAATGTGGAGTTAACCGAGGCTGTCCTCATTTTGACAGTTGCCAGGGACATTCCCGGGGATATATATTTTTTACAGCTGGGAAAATGCTCCTGCTAAAGGCTGCCTCCCGAATTGGACCCTGTGGATATGCAGAGGAATTCATTTAATGGGGGGATCCGCAGATTGCTCGAGCAGATAAGTGCGTCCAGAAAGGAAAATATTACTCTGATGAATGACACACAATGGCTCTCCTCCCGGGAAATGGACTTGTGTTATTGACATGATGCCTATGAATGTATTTAAAGTGCCTCCAGTTACAAGGCTGACAAGAACATGTACAAATTCAAGTTTTGACCCCATCACGTTGATGACTATTAGACCTTAAGTCATAAACCAGTTGTGGTTGGTTAGTGCTGGCTTCTCTCTTAGCCAAAATCAACTCTGAATGTTTAAATACAGTGCGTGAATGCCTAGAGGATTAATTGCATTCCAAACTCTTCCTACCTCAGAGTTAAACACTGAATGTGGCGTGTGTGTGTGTCTGTCTGTCTGTGCGTCAGTACTCATGCACGGCTGTGCTCGAGCAGTCGTGTAGCAGTTAGCGTGCTCGGCTCACCGAAGGTTCGGCCACCCGAGTTCGATGCCTGCTCAGGACCACCACCAGTGACGATGTTGTAAACCATCACCGCTGGGGAAACAAAGGCGTGGTGTTGGCCACCCATCCCCTTGTGCGCCGTGCCGACCTTCATAGGTGCTCGCCAACAGCACTTGCCTCAACAGTCAGTTCAGGCTACACGGGGGATCTTTGTGTGTGTGTGTGTGCAACGCGCGGCTGTGCTCCAGTGAATGTGTGTGGCCCGCTCCGTGTGTTGCTCCCACGGGAGAGTTCCCACGCCATCCTCGCTATCTCCCGTGCGCACCATCGGCGCTTTAGAATCTTCGCAGATAAAACCCCCGGCCTCCCTCCGCTATTATCTTTCCCTCCCTACGCTCGGCAATGCGATTGCATTCGTTGTCTAAGAGTTTCAAACAGTTTGCCTGAAACTTGTGTTATCCAACATTCGGCCGACGCTTTGCTACCCTCGGTGAAGTTTATTTTACTTTTAATCACGCTGCATCTGAATAAAAGCATGGAGAGCTCGAGTACTTTGAGTTCTAGATGCCGCTGCTAGATGAAGCCTCCTGTAGGAGTTTTACAGAACTGTTTGCAGGCCTGTCGGGAGAAATATGGATCAGCTCGTCATGCTTGCTGAGAAGCCCTCATTATCTTCCCATTCCCCATCGCCAGTGTCAAAGGGAGCAACTTTGCCTCGGCCTACATTGCACTCAGTGTTGTAAATATTAACTTTGCTGCGCTCGTCATGATCGTCATCAATCAGCCATGGTCAGTCGGCTTCTGCGTGAAAGCCTCCCCAAGGTTCCACCGCCTCTCGCGATCCCGCATTGCGACAAATCTACGCAGCCACCTGCACAACGAAATATGTCAGTGTTCTACCTGCCGCTTGGACGTAATCTTGTGGAAGTTTGTGCTTTTGTAATTTTTTTTTGAGATGGCAGACTAGATCCCAATTTTTGTTTTTCTAATAAGTGAGGTAGGTGATGGAGAGATTTTGTTACGTGTTATTGTGGGGCCCCTGAACTTTGGACCCCTCCCTCCATCCTCCTGGACTCTCATGAGGCCTGGGTGTTTGACAGCACTCGCCACCTGCTCGCTGCAGTGCGACTTATGAATGGGAAGCAATGCAGCCTTTCGGCTGGCTCAGAGGACAACAGGTCCTGCCATGCGTAGCTTCATCAGTGGTGCCTTCCATGGGTAAAGTACTCTTAATTTTTACATCGACTATCTATTTAAATGTGGATCAGCAATACGAACACAGACAAAGAAGACCTAACACAATCTGAGAGGTGTGCAGAGGGATGCATATGTTCGAATTATACTGAGATCTGGATGGAAAAATAAGTATAACCCGTAAAAACAAAGTTTTTCACTATAAATCCTTTATATGCGTGGCAGCGAACTTAATATAAAGGATTAAAAAACATATTCGCCTGTGGAGGATGCGGGGATCGATCCCGCGACCTTTGGCATGGGAAGCGAGGGCACTACCAACTGCGCTACTCCGCCACGGCCTGCGGACGGGTTACGCTCTGGGCTCTTACACTCTGACGTTCAGCCAAAGCCATGAATGCGTTCTATTTGAATATATGTAAAATAAATTTTTTTTGCCTAAAAAGTGTCAAATTTTGGGAATTTTTTTTCACGAACAATAATTGTCTGGCACGAGTCTGTGTGGAAAATGTCAGCTCGATTGGATCACGGGAAGTGGGTTAAAAAACGACCGAAAGATTTGCACGGTCCTAAGCAAGCAAGCAAGCACGCGAACTTAATATAAAGGATTTAAAAAACACATGCACTTTCACAGAAATTATATTTACGATTGAAGTAAAGCAAATGGGCTTTGGGCAGAACACATAGCTTAGAAGGGGGTAATGATGACGTTGACTTTATGGATGAGACTGCTGATGGAATGACAGCCAAATGAGAGTACAACAAACCCAAGAGCAAGTCCACTGTAGAGGAGTGACATGGAGTCTGATATTGCAGGAGCTCAAGAAATTGTGGCAACAACATGATGGGGAGGGCTTCATCCAGCAGTTGATAGACAATGGTCAACGATGATGATGATAATGATGTCTCCGAGCGTTTTAAGAATCATGTTTCACCCGTATGTTTGTGTTTTTTCCCCCCTCAGACTGACGAGAGCATATGACCGTTCTGTCCCGTGGGACTGCAAAGCCTTCCTGCAAAAATTCTAGGTGAGGACGGACAGCATGAAACCTTGTGTGTGTGTGTGTGCTCGCAGACCCAAACACAAATACATTAAGCAGCTTTCGCAAATATTTAACATGGCATTTGGCAAAGAATCCGTAACCTATTCATGCTTCCACAAAAAAAACCCAGTCGTTTAAGTAAATACTTTCTCTTCATAATCTGATCTGTAAATGCAAATTTACAATTTTGACGGATGCGATTTGAATTTCATGAAACTTTCCCTGCACCTCTTTGTTGCATCACAAGTGTCATTGTATAGAAATGTAATTTAAGCCTGACCTTTTGCAATATTGCAAGAAGTTATGGGAAGGGGTGATTTATTCAAACTTTCTCAGATTTCTGTTGGCAAAAGAATTGCCAACGGAATTTCTGCACAAATAAAAATAATGATAAAAAAAATCTGCACAATACAACGCGTCAACATTATCCATCTGTTTTGTTGTGGCTAAACCGACTTGTCAATCAAATTATTTCTTTTCTCATGGTCGGCTTTTCAGACAAACTAAATAATCATAGTTATGTTTTAAAATAAATTTTAACAAAGCTCAGCACTCTAAATCGTGTTATTAGTATCCATAGCTCGTTCATATTGCATTAGGATTTGTTTATATCTCAGAGTCTATATTGACATTTAGTTGTGAAGTGAGCGCAATCATCAGTTGGTTCATGTGTTGCAATTATAATTCCATTTTCATTTGATTGTTTCCCATGTCATTGAACCTGCATTGGATGAAATGATAATAACAATAATGATACCAATGTACATCTCTTGCTCAATCTACTTTTGGATAAAAATAATAATAATGAAATTCGTATCGCTCACAATATATCACGGACATAAATTACCTTGACTCTGAGGTGTGGGGCCTAGCTGGAAACGCGTGTCGACTCCAAATATTAAGGAAAAAATAAAAGCACCCAGAGAAATATACAGGCGTCTGGATTAGGATCGAACCTTTGGCCTCCTGTATACCAGGCGAAGTAGCTAACACCTCGCCAGCGTGTGCGGGGCGACGAGAACTAGAGCGACAAACGATATTGGTGGCAGGCCTGCACATGCGTTGTCGGTCGTGGTCGGTGATTTGGCCCCGCTTTACAACGCTGGTCAGTGAGGAGGGTGGCGGCCTAGGCTCCGCTTCAGACATCGATCGCCACCGATGTTAGCCCTGGCAGGGGAATTGAAGGCAACGATTATCTTAACCGGTTCTGGGTCTCCCCTGTGTCGACTCAGCCTCAAATGAGAACTTGGTGCAGTGTGTAAACATCGCCATTCAGGAGACAAAGGCGGCCAGGCGTGGTGTTGGCCACCCACCCCCTCGTGTGCCGTGCCGTGACGGCCTTCAGAGGTCCTCGCTATCAGCATTTGCCCCAAAACTTTGTTTGGGCTATACTTGGGGTCTCTGTCTGTTTGTATTTATATTTTACTAGCTTGTTTGCCCGTCCTAGCACGGAAGCTGTAATATTTACGATTGTGTGTTGTGTAAATTTAATGGCAGTGAATCGTGCACAACAGTATGCAATTAAACACTTCACTGCATTTCACCGTAGCACTGTATTAATGGCAGTTAATATGGCACAAAACGAAGTCATTAAACACTTCACTGCAGTTCACTGTAGCACTGTATTAATGGAAGTGATTCTTGCACAAAAATACGTTATAAAAAACCTCACTTCATGTCACTGCAGCATTGTATATAACTGACCTTCAATTTGTTCAAATTTACTGCTCTGATACTTTATTCTCTACTGCTTTCGGTCGCTGGGGTTGAAATAAATTGGAATTCGATACAATATCTGGAAAATCACCAATAAAAGTCTATTTTACCATAATGTAGAAGTATAAATTAGACTTACCTTTCGTCTCAAGTGCTGAAGAAATAAAGAAACCAAATCCACTTTTTTGCTGCGTATATTTTATTTATAAATTCACTATCAATAAAAAAACGTCAAACTTAAACCGAATTTGCGAAGAAAAAATATTTCCTCTCGACCTTCTGCGCGAGTGTAAAAATCAACCCGCTCATGAATATTGATGACGGGGGGGGGGGGGGCATGTGGAGTGACGTCACGCGCGTTACACACAAACATTCTTGGCTCATTATAGTAGTAATACAGAGAGACACTGAGTCGTAGGAAGAGGAATATAGGAATGTCTTGAGCCTGGACTTGAATATTGATATTGAGTCGACATAGATGCCCCAATGTACACAGTTATTATTATTGTCTAGGGTATCATGGTTTCCTCTCTTTCAGTTGAATTAATTGTCATGACTCAGATTGTGGTGAATGTAGCGGCCTCTAGTGGCTGGAAGGATGAGTTGAAACCAATACTTACAACATATACAAATCTAAATACATGAGGTCTTACACGCGCGATCTAATGCACATATCATGAGCCGAAGAATCAAGAGCAATGGGATCAACCTTGTTCATCTTTACACTACTACTAATAACTATAACCAAGTGAAGGCGACGATGAAAATGTAAATATAACGTGTGGTCAGCCATTAAAAAGTCACGCTTTGCACTTATTTAAACCTTGATCAGACCTTTGTTCTGAGAGAAGAGGAATCATCTTTGTTTTTGAATGAACAAACAAGCGTCCAAACATTTATGAACAAAAACAAAATGGTGCGGCTTTTAGCTCATGTGTGCTCGTATAGAAATCTGGTCTCATTCAGGGGGCCCCCCACCCCCTCACAATCTATGGAGGGGGCCGCAGACATTGTTCAGCCATCACTCACGTGCCCGGGCACTCGTGTAACCAAGCAGCAGCCCGTGAACAAGCTGACGTCGACTGCCCGCGGCTACAGAATTGGCTTTGAGGGGGGGGGGGGGGGGCAGGGAATGTGAACGAACAAAATGGACAAAAAATAGACCACCACAAACTCGACGATCCACAGCCTGCGATGTTACACATTCGTCGCGTTTTATTTTTGCTTTCAAACTCCCAAGCTGGCTAAATGGGCCAAGTGAAATGGGGTGTGAGCTGTGTTCCCGCGCTAGTTTTTTTGTTCCTTTCACGCGAGATTCTCTTTTTTTTGTGTCTCGGCTGGCTTGGCGACTCCCCGGGAGGGCGGTTCCCGTGGGCGTTGGGCTGTGAACTGGGCCTTCCCACTGATCGACGCCCGTCGCGCCTGCGTGAGCAGGCTTTGGGGGGAATTGGTGCGCAAGGGGAGCACAGACACACTTTGGAAAGTTGGGAGGTGTCCTGCGAGCGGCTACTATTTAAATCTGGGCTTTATTGTCTCTGCAGCTGTATGGCACGTTTAATAGGCGGTCAGTGCATCATGCACTTTCAGATGCGCTTCTGCGGCCGTCTGGAACGCTCTTCCTTCCGATATTAGGAAGCCACTGGAGCTATGGATTTTAAAATCTACATTGAAAACTCATTTCCTTAGAAATACTTTTGTGTTTCGTTTGCTGTCCTTCCCCCCGCACCTCTGATGAGCATGGTTGGCTACGTACGGTGCGAAAAAAGTTCAACATGCATATGTAGTGTAATAGCGCCGGCTGTTGGACAGCAGCGGCAACTGTGGTGGACAGACAGCACACACGCCGGTGAGGGTGTGTTGGCAGAGCGGAGGAACTAGGGCAAGGGTCACGGAGGACCCCATCTGGAGGCCCCTGGAACCTGCTGGCGGGTTCGAGAAGGGAGGCGTGGTCAGGGCGGAGCCAGGCCGCGCTGGGAGGATAAAAGGAGCCGAGAGCGGGGGGTTCGAGGCTGCCGGTTCTGCGAGTGGACTCGTCTCGTTGTCACTGTCGTCTCGTCGCCATCGTCGCTAAACGTCTCCGCTAGACACTGCGCTACAAAGGAGAGTAGTTGGCCATTTCAGTCAGCGCCGTCAGTGTTAGACGGCCGGTGTTGTGTACAGGCTGGGCTGAGCTGCTGTGGAGAGTGTGTGGACGAGGCCGTGAAAGTTGTTAATAAAGAACTTGCCTGAATCATTGACACTACACATACATGAACACTAACATCGGTAACAAGTCACCCACTTCACAAGCCTGCACCGAGTTTCGTGGTCAAGTATGGTCAAACAGCCCCCATGCCCGACATGGCATCAAGGGAGGCCTTCATCCAGCAATGGATTGAATGTGCACAAGGTTGTGCATAATTATTTAATTTAACTATCATTATCGTGGTGATGATGATAATCATGGTGATAATTAAATATAAATCTTACTGCAGCACTTTAGGTTCCATATATTTCATTCATAGTGTTCATATTGTACACAGGATAATAAAGTAATTTCATTCAGCAGCGGATTGACAAGGGGCTGTAACTTTATTTCGTTATCATCATCGTCCTTTGCTGTATGACAATAAAATTCCACCGGATAAATTCAATTCAGGTCATATTCCCAATTGTAAATATATATATATAAATCATTATTCCATCTCTGTTCTTGTCCGTGGGCACGGCGAGAGGGTTAGAGAGTGGCTCTTCGCTGTAATTCTGTTTGGAGAGGATTGAGACCCTATTTACTGGAGGTGTTCAGAGAGGGCGGGGGAGGGGGGGCCGCTTTGGCCTCTGAGGTGTGACTCATTACCAGGTGTTTGATCTGCAGACACTGGCACTGCGCAGTGAACGGTGGTGACATCGCGATCTCCGACCATCCACGCTCCTTCACCCACCTGGAGGAGAGAGAGAAACAAAAACAAAAAACACTCAGAACATTGCTTGCTAAACGTCGCCCGCGCGAATATTAAAATGAAATAAAGTACGGCGATTCCTGCTGTTTTCTCCGTTGCATAATAATTGGTGCATCTGCCTCATCGGACTGAATAGCAATGAGTTTTCCATGCAGTGGGGGTTATAATGTGTGAAAACAAATAAGCACTCGATGCCTCCGAGTCTGTTCAATTAAATGTATCTCAAATGCAAGATAAGTAAAACATACATTTTATCCTTTCAATTCGTAATAAAGCATTACAGTTATAACAAAAATAATTACAAGTGCGATTATTAGTTTGTTTAAAGAA